GATTAAGCGGTATATAGATAATGGATGGATGATTGTTGCTTCTTTAATTTTTTTAGTAGTTTTATTTTTGTTTGTTGGAAGTTCTCAAGAAAAACTGAAGACATTTATTATCTACAGTCTAAACAATATTCACTGCATGTGAACTTTGTGTTTATTTCCTCCAACATCTCAGCAGAGTTGGAGATGATCACTTCAAAGAAACACAGTCACAAGGAGCAGCAGGCTGAGGTGTTGACCCTGTGCTTTACTAGCTGCAACTCTATACCTGTTCTAAAACCTCATACAACAACAAAGCCGGACTGGATTACCAACTGGGTAGATGCCCAGGGCTCCCAGGGGTGTGTTCCAATACCCAAACAACCAAGCTGTGTAGCATGACAGAACAAGATTTAATATATCCCATTATGCAGTATGCCAACACTACCTATATATTCTACTACAGCCGGTCTCATTTTGCAGTCTGGAAGCCAGCACGTAGCAGAAGATATGTCACATACATCAGTGTGTCTCACTCAAGTAACAACCTTGAAATGCCGAGATGGCACTGACAGCTGATTTTACATGACACACCATGATGGATATATGAGCAAGACTGTCAAAGCTTAAAACACACTATTATGGCAAAGTAGCATGTGCCAATTGTATGATACTGCATACGACTGTATGTACTTTGTAAGGGCACCGTTCAGTGTGTACTGAGAGAAAAAAGTGGAAGTATGCAATTTCAAATGTAGGATCAGTTTTATTCATGGCATTTGGCCTAAATGATTTAATTCATCACACATTTCTCAAAAATTTTGACCACTGAAGTACAACATTAGGGACTCTGACTGTGTGACAGTCTGCTTTGGAAACTGTACTTGTTTTAGTTTCAGCTTGTTGCTCATTTGTTGTAAAGTTGTATTCTGTCAAATTATCTTTATCTGTCATTTAGATGCCAGTTTGTTTACATGATGTCATTGTTTTTTTTGTTTTTTTGAGGCTATGTGTGTCATCTTCATGAAATTGGGTATATTGAAACATCTTATACTGACTGTCCATCCATTATCTATACACCGCTTAATCCTCACGAGTGTCGCGGGGGGGCTGGAGCCTATCCCAGCCAACTTGGGGCGAAGGCAGGGGACACCCTGGACAGGTCGCCAGTCTATCACAGGGCTACACTTATACACTTGTAAATCCTGTCTGTTTTCAGGGTGTACAAAGATAGCCGCGGGCATTCATTTTTCCTTACATTGAACAGACCATAGAATCTCAGCATATGCATTGAGGTACTTGTAATTCTGGAATTTAAACACCTCTAGTATAGGGAAATTGTGTTGTCAAATTGGAAGTCTGTACCTTACATACTTATTGATATATTGTCATCCAAAGTTAGGGTCATGTCACAAATTTTCCAAAAACTACAAAAAAAGAGATTTTTTTCTTTTTTTTATTAGCAATAATTATCACCGTTATGACCCTAAAATTTGAGATTATGCTATCTTGATGATAATCCTTCATTTTAAAACTTTTTAACCCAATTCAAGATGGCCACGCGGGAGCCATCTGGTGAACTGAGATGGAATAACCCACATCCCAGCCTGGGATAATAATAAAAAAAATAAAATCTATATATTCCACTTTCGCGTACTGAATGGCAAATAATTAAATTTTTGAGCGGGCTTGTGTGTGAATGAGTGAGAGTGAGCGTGAGAGACAGCAGGGTTGAATTTGTGATCTGTGGTCCATTAGAATTTCTATATCTCCAAATGTAAACATACATAAACACACACACACACGTATTTTTTTAATACACACATATACACACATTGTCACATCCTTACCAACACCCCCAAACAATTTCAGTAGTAAACGTTTTTTCATTGGCCTGCAGTGCTCTAATATAGTGGGAAGCAACAAAACAAATATAGCCTGTATTTACTCCACCGGCCACATGTGAAAAAATGACACAATCTGGTGGAAAACAGTAAAAAAAAAATTACTCTTTTAAATTCAAAGCTCCATAATGAAATCCTAATAACATAGAACGCATGAAAAAGACAAAATGTCCCCATGGGCGCATGAGAGTAAACGCCTCATCTCTGGCTGGCAGAGAGCTCTCAGTCTCTCTGCTTTGTAGCATCTTTGATTTGTTTATTGCTTTTTTGCAGTAATCTTTTGTTGTTTTTTTGCTGCCGTTGCATTCATTATATTAATTGCAGATGTTGCACTGCTGTTTACTGGACTTTAACTTCCTCATTCACTTGATATTTTTATTGTTAGCATTTGACACTTTATGGTGCATTTTGTATTTTAGTATATTTTTCTCTTTTCTTATTTATTTGTATTGTGGTGGTGGTCACTTTACTCCTTTTGCTTGCTATTGTAACAACAGAATTTCCCCTTGGGGATCAGTAAGTCTATTAATCTATTGACAGAGGTCCCTTGGAGATTAAAAATACTAAAAGTAAGTTATCCTAAGGTGGAACTTGAGCACCTTTACAAAAGTATAAAAAAAAAACATTGTGATGCTTATTTTTTGGTTATTTTGGGTTTTAAAACGGTAGTTTCTAATTTTGTAAAGATTTATTTATTTTTACATTCAATATTTTTCAATAATAAAATATTTTAGGGGAGACAATGATGATTTTGAAACAGGCTTTGTGATGACAGGCAACCTGCTCTCAGAATAAACATCGGCCTTGTCAATGGAACCAGACTACTTATCTATTTGTACTCTATTGTATCCGACGGCTTTTAATTAAAGGCTTTCTTTTAGCTGTTCGGTGTTCATTTTCACAAGCTGGTAATGGCGTGCAGAGCCCCCTCACCTTTAACTGAGATTGTTGATTGAGTTCTTTGATGAATACCTGTCTGGCCCAAAGCTGCTCGGCCATCAACAAGCGTTCATCGCGCACGTGAACGCGATTGGTTTCTCCACACGCGCTCCTGACGTGAGCCGCAGACACACCTGATGCTCGTTCCAACCAGAAGGCGGGAGGTGGACGCCGGTTTAAAAGACGAGCAGCCTGCTCACTCTTTGCTTGTGACTTAATAACAAAGCAGGAGAGTTAGGGTCCAAGCCATTCAACTACCACACGTTTCTGCTGTAACTCAGCAGATCTCCTGTTGGAAGGCCGCTTTGGACGCTGTTTCCTCGCTGGGCTGACCTCCTAGATCACCAAAAGCAACTTCACCCTTTGCAGCCATGCATGAGGTAAGTGGATCACACATTCATGTTCAGGTGTGCTCTGATAACTCCAGGTTAACTGCTCTTACAGTCTGGTTTGGTGTTTAAACAACGATTTTTAGTAACTTAAATACTAACTTAATTATTTAAAGCTTTCTTGAGATAAGCCAGCTAACAGTGGGATGAAGCGAGCTGGTAAACTAGTTTAAAGTGAGTTTGGTTTGAGCAGAATAGCAAAGCAGCTTAAATGACAGACTTTGGATGTAATGTCAGCTCTTTTCCTGGCTATAATATTGTTAATGTGTGTAGGTTTAAGTATTTTCCTTTCAATCTGTTTTTATTGAAAAATACAGGTCCATATATATTTCTATGAATTTGATCTCCTTTAGTGGCAGTCTAATATCACCATGCTTATCTTTGATATTGATAAGAGCGCACTCAGAGGTTTTGTAGTCATCAGTTACCACAGTTGGCATGGAGGGTTGTCCTCAGATTACAATGTGTTACAGGTCATGTAAAGTCTTAACTTTTTGTAATAATGACTTGCTCCTTTTAAATCTTTCGGGAGTGTATGTCTTGATAACCTGAGTTGCTCAACTCCAGTTAGGCCATACTTGATATTGAATGCTAACTTTTTAAGTTAACAAACTGATTTTTATTTTTTTTAAGAAAACAACAACCAGGACTTACTGGGGGAAAAAAAATGCATTGTACTGCTGAACAATGTGGGGCATGTAAGACAAGTTTAGTTACAGCTGTTTCCATCTGGGTAGACTGTGGGTTGTCAGTGTTTTGGTTTGAAGCTTGGAAATGAGAACCACCATACATCTTATGTTTAGCTGTGCATTATGTTAATGGAATAGTTTTCTGCATTTTGTTAAGCTCTCTGAATTCTGGAAATGCCTTTGGAACAAGTGTTTTAAATGACTACATTTATTTGTTTTAACCAGTGGTATGCTGATGCATAACTGGGGCTAGGGTTTGGTGCCTTTAATGTATCGGTATAATGCTGGAAAAATTGGTATGTTCCCTGATTAGATTTGTTTTTTTTATTTATTAAAGTAGTTGTAATCAATAAAAAGCTAAATGTTTGTAGCTCTAGTCCCCCCATTGAGGATCTAGAGCTCTTTGTGCTGTGGGAACTTCAGATGTTTATTTAGGGTGTTTCCACAGACATTTTCCAGGACTACAGCTTCTCCACTAGCTAAAAAGGTGTCTGTAATTAAATATCATAGTTAAGGGAAATATTAATACTCTGATCTCAGAACATGGGTACTTGACACCATTGAGTAACAAAAGCTATAGGTTAGCCAGGGCAGCAATGTTCTTTTCAGAGACTAAAATCAGTCAGTGTAACTCATGAGGTTAAAAGAGGCTTAGCAGCAGATAGACAAGTCAGGCCTTTGAATACCATGCTGAATTCAAACTGACCTTTATTTTTTTCAGGCCAGTAGTGACGACTTGTTCCTGCCTTCCTACCAAGATGAGGAGCTGGTTGACAACCTGCTTTCCAGTGAGAAGTCAGATGTACATGGTGACGGAAGTAGCCTCTCCCTGGCCAAATCCCTGCTCCCCCTGGCAGAGTCCTCCTCTCCTCCACTTATCCCTTGGGTCTGCTCCACCCGCTACAAGACTGAACTCTGCACCAGCTACTCTGCTTCTGGTTTTTGCAAGTATGCCGAGCGCTGCCAGTTTGCCCATGGCCTCCATGAACTCCATGTTCCCTTCCGTCACCCAAAGTACAAGACTGAATTGTGCCGCAGCTACCACACTACAGGCTACTGCTACTACGGCAGCCGATGCCTGTTCGTTCACAACCCAGCAGAGCAGCGCCCCACCCTCCGCCGCCGCAGAAATGTCCCTTGTCGCACCTTCCGCTCCTTTGGGGTTTGTCCCTTTGGCACCCGTTGTAACTTTCTGCATGTCGAGGGTGGTGATGTAGGAAGCAGTGTGGATGTTGAGGAGAAGACGCCACCTACTCCCAGCCGTCAAGTCCAGCCACAGACAAAGGAGTGGAAGCCTCGAGGAGTGCTGTGCCGCACCTTCAACTCCTTTGGATTCTGCCTGTATGGAACTCGCTGTCACTTCCAGCATGGCCTCCCCAGCAAGATTAAAACTGCCAACCAGAGCCAAGGAGGGTCTCCCTACCAACAAGCATCCCCAGGCAGTTCAGGTTTACTTTCTTCCTCCTCGCCAAACTCTTCGACATCCTCTTCTCCTCCATCAACCTCTCCTCTTGCCACTCCATCTGCAGATGCCATGTCCCACAATGCATTTAACTTCTCCAGTGAGCACCTAAATGACCTGCTGTTGCCACTGGCCCTCCATCTGCAGCAGCTGGAGCGTACAAAGACCCTGGAGATCTGGGACAACAGGGGTCTCTAACTGAATGAGGTCAAAGAAGAAACCAGCATCAGCACTCACCATACCGCCAATTAATTTTTTTTTCTTTTTTTAAATGTTTTTTATTATAACCCCCCTTACCCTAGGGCACTTTTAAGCTGAGGTTGTTTGAATTGAGCACTTGTGTCAGCAGTTCAAGCTGGACTTGATTGACCAGTCATGGATCAGTCTGGGAAAAGCACTGGACAAGAAGTCTCCTGAATCTACAGTTGCAGCTATGAATGTAATTTAAGTTTTTTAACTATTGACATTATTAATGAATTAGGTAAATGTCTTACCTCAGCATCATGAATAAACAAATTTTAAACTCTGACAGGTGTCCTTATTGATTTATTTTTTACATTTTATATCCACATAAACATTTGGAGTAGGTTTGCTTGTGAAACAAAATTAAGACATTACCAGAGTGACTGTTTCTCAAGCCAATACAGAGATGCTACACACACTTACTACTGCCAGGATTGACTCTTGTAATGCTCAGCTATCTGCTTCTAAACTCAGCTGCTTGTATGGGGCACTAAGAGCAGAAGGACAGTACATATTACACCAACTTTAAAGTCTCTGCACTATCGGCTTTGGAATTGGTTTTAGGATCCTCCTAGAGCTCTCAGGATTTCTGGTAAAGAACTTTAATTTGTACCAAAGAGAGGGGAAATAAACAAATCTGAACAAAATACTACGGTGAGCATCTTTTTGTGACTGTGGTCCACTTCTGTGGAACAGACCTGAAGGCCACAGAGAAGCACTTTGTGCTGTATTCTATTTGTATGAACAGTGCTATTATAAAGTCTAATTGGTGTTGGACCTCAATAATGCTCTCACTGAATGGGGAACAATGCCTTAAACCAGTTTCTAGAACCTGGAAAAGTTCGAATTGGTGCAGAGGCTGTAAGAGCAGCAACATGGTTAAATGTAATTTAACAGGGTAATATTTGCAGTGTTTTTATTGAAGTCACATTTAAGTTATTTAGAGAGGCAGACAATGACTTTTTTTTCCCAAGATTTTACATACTGTCTTTAAGATATTTAACGGGTAGACTCACAGCATCCATCCATTCAAGAAGGTCAACTGCTTGTACTTAAACTTTATTGAACCAGTCCCTGTTTCACAAAGCTTATCACAACGCTCCATCTCCCGGCGCGTCACTAGTATACGGAAGTTGACAGTCATGTCAGCCAAAATTAAAGCCGATGCTGTATGTTTTCAGTCACATGTATTCACTTGTGTTCAGCAACTTCGAGAAAATCTCGATTACATTGTACAGACGACACCGATTTTTTTTTAAAAGAACCAATACGGCATACTATTCGCAGAAGAGCCGAATTAGTGCTCCGGTATTGCCTTATTTTGAAGGATGTAGCGGATGTTTATCTTGTGTGCTCACTTGATGTTGTAGACCGCCCAGTGCCGCCTACAGCTAAGCAGATGTAAACTTTCTTTCTGACCCCATTCAGTGTCCAGCCGTTTCAGATAAGAAGGTAAAGAATATTGTGAATTAAAATGTTAAAGTTTTTGCGCTGCATTCTGTCTGCCCTTCCTCGGCAGCTCGATACGAGCATGTTCCGCGACAGAAGCTAGCTAAACCGGATGGCTTCCACTACGAACCGTTGTTTGCTTAGCGCTGTATTTTTACTTGTATCTTAATTATACGCCATTTGACCTTTAGAATGCAAAAAGTTGATTTCTTAACGTCACAGTAAGCTTAATAAATCCACAGTAGTTACGTATGAGGTGTTTGTTCCAGCTTATTGACTGAAAGCAGGTTTCATGTTAGCATGCTGGAGAACAAGTCTAGGCTACATTCAGAGAGAAAACTGTGTACCAAGGCTCATTAAAAGAGGATGCAACTTAGGAATCCATGGCTCATTGTCACTAACACATGATGACCGACAAGCTGTAAAAAACATTTCACGAATTTCAAATGTGTTTTCGTGAATTCGGGATATATCTCATTCACCAAACACGACTCAATTTTCATTAACACGTAATTCTAAAGCAGGAGCGTAGTTGTAACGTCGCTGTACGAAACCTTCGAAGTTCCGAGAAGCCCCACGTCCCCACGCTGGTTTCTGCTGCAAGAAGTTGTAAAGCACCACAGATAGAAAGTGTTAAGGTGATGTGCTTTTCCTAGTTTCCGAGTGGGCTCCGTGAGCATGGCGGACCGGGAGGAGCGCCGCTTCGCCGAGGTTTCCCGGGACTCCGTCAAACTAATGGCCGAGAGTGCAGGCGTGGATCTCGGTGATGATGTGGCCGCTCTGCTGGCTGAGGACGTTTGTTACCGACTCAGGGAGGCGACGCAGGTCAGTGCCGCCTGGGTAATGTGTGCAATGTATGGTGTTCACATTACACTAGTATGAATCTATACTATAGGGAATGTCCATGATGCGTAGATACTCAGTTCAAGTTACTCATCTAGACATGCAGTACTAAAGGTGATCTGATTTGGACCCAAACAGAGCAGCTCTCAGTTCATGAGACATGCAAAGAGGAGGAAGCTGACAGTGGAGGACTTTAACAGAGCTTTGCGCTGGAGCAACGTTGAGGTAAGTTGTGATTGTAACATCTATGGTGTGCCAAGTCAACAGCATATCTGATGTGACCTGAACATGCTCCAGTAGCCCTCTCTTTATTTTCCTTATCGTTGTGTGTTTACCAGGCCATCTGTGGCTACGGGGCCCAGGATGGTCTTCCCTTCCGTTCAGTGAAAGAAGGAGAGCTTTTCTTTGTTGAGGATCGGGACGTCAACCTGGTCGAGCTGGCTCTGGCCACCAACATTCCCAAAGGCTGTGCTGAGACTATGGTGCGAGGTATGGCACACCACACTGTCAAAGACTACGCAAACGCCAAGGCAGAAGTGTCACTGATGCCACTAAAAGTCCATGTTCCAAGTCTTCATAAGCAATGTTTACTAATTATGTCTCCTCTGTGCTGTCAGTTAATGTTTCATACCTGGATGGTAAAGGCAACTTGGAGCCTCAGGGAGCAGGTAAGATTAAACCATACCACTTAAAACAGTTGTCAGTACACGTCTTGTGAAAGCAGTTCTCCAGCAGCGTAACAGCAGCTGCAGTCTTGTGTCTACAATAGAAGTGTGTGGTGACTTGTCCGGTGCATAGTTACTGTAGTTATACCAGGTAGACAGAAGAGAACAGATCTGAAGCTAATATTGTTAAAATGTTCATTTTATTTCTTTAATATCAAAAACTTTTAAAGCTGACTTTTGCCTCTGGCTGAGTACATCAGTATAATCCTGATGGATGAATTTCAGTGTTACCTGCAGCAACTGTCTGACCTGTCTATTGAACTGTCACAGTTCCTACTGCAGTACAGTCTCTGTCAGATGACCTGCTGAAGTACTACCAGCAGATCACAAGGGCAATCCTGGGAGAGGACCCCCATCTCATGAAGGTAAGCTGCTGCAGAACTGAGGCTGATGTTCTTCATGGCTAAACAACGTGCAACTTGTAATATTTTTCCCTGTGTGTTTCAGGTGGCTCTGCTGGACCTCCAGTCCAACTCCAAAATCGCTGCCCTGCTACCATACTTTGTCTATGTCATCAGTGGAGTAAGTTCTAGGGTTGTACCCGTTCAACTTTATACCTCTCAGTACCAACTCCAGTACCTCAACCTGGTGTAGAATACCTGATCTGGTGCTGTCCTTTGCCCAGGTCTGTGAGAAAATTCTTTAAGTTTTGTGAGATGAACAAAGCAGTTTGATTGTGGTTTGTAACACTGGACTAATGCTGACCCAAGTCGCAGCAACTATTGTATTTATCCATGTCTTTATGCTGTGACTATCTCTTTTCAGGTGAAGTCAGTAAGCCACGACCTGGAACAGCTCAACAGGCTACTGCATATGGTGAAGAGCCTTGTCCAGAACCCCTACCTATACTTGGGCTCATATGTGCGTAGTCTGGTCTCCAGTGTCATGTACTGTATTCTGGAGCCGCTGGCAGCCTCCATAAACCCACTCAACGATCACTGGACCCTTAGGGACTATGCTGCCCTGCTTCTCAGCCACATCTTCTGGTGAGCAAAACACTGATGGCTGTTTAGACACAGTGTATTTATGGTTTATTGTGTTACTTGCAAAGGGTACTTGCACGCAGTCACAATATTTTACCCATTTTGGGGCTTTGAAACTACCAAATGATCTGACTTTTACATCACTGTCGACTATTAGTCCGTACTAAATAGCTTTTAATTAACAACCACTGTAGTATTGACCAGATTTATAACTGATATGTCGTGTAATTCATCAAAGTCCTTTCTATCCAAGGTTAATAAAGGCCAAATCATTGTTTCTGCATCCCTGTTTGCTGTCTGATGTGGCCGTTAATAGCAGATGTGCACATGGTTGTATTCGTACTACAATAGGCAGTTAGCTATGCACATTGTTGCATAGCCCTTCATTTTAAACACAGAAAAGCACACGGGGCTCTTGTGGATATTTCTAAAAGGCTGAATGTGACTTTGCTGGATGTAGCCAGTAGTTACAGAATGAAATGTAGCACCATGTAAATGTGAATATTACTTATCCCCTATTTGTTTTGAGTAGTACTTGTTTTCCTGGCACATGTTAAGCATGTTAAATTGGCGCGCTTGCAGTGGGAGTGGGCTGCATGCAGACGAGTAAGAACAGCACGAATTGGTCTGAAGACTTTCTGTTTAGGTATTAATTGCACATGTACTGGCAACAGTTGCTGATTTACACATCTGAAAGACAGAGAAACAATAGCATTAATTTGGTGCCCACCTGATAAATCTAAATGGTCACTCTCCACATTTTGGGTGTTCTCAACAGGACTCATGGTGATCTGGTGAGTGGTCTTTACCACCAGATCTTGCTTTCTCTGCAGAAGGTTCTATCTGACCCAGTCAGACCACTGTGCTCCCACTATGGCGCTGTGGTGGGCCTTCATGCTCTTGGATGGAAGGTATGTTCACTGCTTCTGTCTGTAAATCCAGCAGTTTTGTTTTGTTTTGTATAAAGCTGTTTAGGGCGTTCCACAGGTAAAACCTTAAAGTGAGCATCAGCATACTTCTGAGTCACAAGTTAACCCTCTGAACCACAAGCAGTTTCTTGATGTTTTTTTTGTTCCAGTAACATTTTTATTCATTGTGGGCTTATTTTTCTCTGCAATGTAAAGTCCTCCATCTCTATGGAAACAGCACAACTATGGCTAGAAGTAGAGAAAACTCAGAAATGTCTTCTGTACAGTACCACACAGTTATATCATAAATCATGAAAAAATAAAGTGAAAGTTTAATTTCTTTGACATTTTTTGTTTGTTTTACATGAAGTGATAAACAAACTAGTGATTCTAAATTTTATAGATATTTTACTACACATATTTTATTTTGTCTCTAAACTGGTCTATTCTCTGCTCTGTGTAACTGCAGCATGCGGTTTAACCAAAAAGTTCCAGATTTTTTGTCGGTTGGTCAGAACATGTATTTCAAACCCACCAGATGGTTTTAGGGTTCATAAAGCTACACTGTTCAGTGTGTGGCTGATGACTTATGAGTCCTATCTATTGACTGTGGGAATCATTCAGAGACAGTCCTGTTCTAAATGCTGTACATTTGCTTTACTTATCCTCCAAAATGATTTTCCTTTGAAATTTGCCCTTTATTATCTCTAAAATCAGACTTGTCTGATGGGATTGACTATATTCATTTGTATTCCTTAACTGAGACTGTGAATTGCTTTAGTCTTAGGATGTCAAGATTTCTTCTCAAATGGCAACATCCTGCATGTATATGGATAATTTTTATACAAATTTCTGCTAAATTGCAAGGGGAATATTTAACATTTTTAGAGAAAAACACAATAAACTGTCCAATACTGATGGATCTATGACATTGCTGTGTAGGATCTGAATACTCCATGATAAGATTACTTTCTGCTCATGTAAATGCTTTCCTCTCAGCAATTACACACAATAACTTGTGCATGTTTCTGATGGCAGGCTGTCGAGAGAGTACTCTTTCCGCATCTTCCTGCCTACTGGGCGAACCTCCAAGCTGTGTTGGATGACTACTCTGTCTCCAATGCGCAGGTCAAAGCAGATGGACACAAGGTCTATGGAGCCATCCTGGTCAGTCCTGCTGTGACCTCGGTGTCTTTTATATAGTGAAAACATTTTTATGTGTTTTTCTTTTAGTGTTTTTTTTTAGTGTTTTTCATAGCTGCTATGATGGGATTAACAATTGGGGATTTAACAATGTGGAATTGCAGGGTCAGTATCATATTGGAGTTATCGGTTTGTTGTATCTGATTCTGATGTTATATTAGCTTTCCATCACCTATAATTAACAATATGTTTTTTTCAAACAAATTTCTAATTAATTATGTACTGATGTATTGAATAATCAGTGATCAGAATGTGTCACCCTATTGACAAGCATTTAGGCTACAGACACCATTAGAAACGCTTTACATGGTTTTGGACTTAATCATTTGTAGTTTCTTGGCCCTTTAGACTACAGAAGGAGAGATGGAGGCATATTTCTGTTTATAGTTTATATTCTGCTTTTTCTAGAAGTGTTTTGGAAATTACCTACACCATCCCATTCACTGACAGATTGTGTTGCAGTAACAAATGAACCTCAATTTTTTTCAAAACATTTTTTTTTCATTTATTCTGAGAAATGTAAACATGTAACAGTGGCTAATTGACCTTAATTCTTATTGTAATAGTTAAGGCACTGACAAAGAATAAATCAATGAAAAAAATGTCCAGTACAACAATTTCATAGAATAAATAAAGTTAATCATTAAAGCCAAAGTTGAAGCAAACAGCAGACATCCTGGTACTACCGCATATTGCAGTTGCATACCTTGTAAATGATTCCTTCTCTGTGTCCTGCAGGTGGCAGTGGAGCGCCTGCTTAAAATGAAGGCTCTGTCTCTGTCTCAGCCAGCAGAGGGAGCCACCAATGCCCAGTCGGGCTCTGTGATGGGTGCTATGGGTTACAGAGTGAGCTCCCCAGGCCTCAGCCCACCTCCAGAGCCTCTGTCAGAGGCTGCCCTCGGAATCGCCAGCCACCTCCAGGCGGGTGGGGCTGGTTGTCCCTGGGAAGAGTGGACCCCGGTCCCCCTCCCTGCCATGTACTGTGAGCTCTACTCCTTCTTTGGTGACAGCTTGGCTGTCAGGTTTAGTACAGGACCAGGGTTTGGCAGCTACCCTCCCTGTACCCCTTCTCAGCTCAGTGACACCCGAAAGGAACCCTCTGGCCCTGCCTCCAACCCAGACACGACCCGGAAGATGCCACAGCTGACTGCCAACCTCAACATCAGCCCCAGGCAGGATGGGAGTCCTCGCACTGATCCACCTCCACCCAGCCTTGCGGCCACAGGATCAGGAAGGTAGACAGTGAAACTCTTTTGATCTCTTTTGAGGTGCAGTACTGCATGTTACTAATGTTCTTTTCCCTATCAGAACCCTGGCTCGCTCCTCCTCTGTGCAGCGCTCCAGATCCTCCTCATCACGTTCGGGGCAGCGTTCAACAGGTCTGTCTCGTGATGTTTTCCCCAAGGCTCGCTTCACCTCTCCTCAAACTGGGCTTCCAGCGTTCTCCTTTCTTATTGGTGGGCGGCAAATGGGTCGCCGTTGCCAAGGTCGACGTCCCTTCCAGACCACTTTTGCCCCAACTCCACCTTTTTCTACCATTCCTCCACGTGCCTACGCTCACAAACTGCCCGTTATTGGCAGGGTGGGAAAACCTGTACGCCGATGGACGTGCTCTCATTACTCCCTTCATCTGCCTCTGTAGAGAGCAGGGTCTAACGATTGACAGCATTCAGATGGCAAGCAGTGGGGTTTGACTGCTACAGACTTTTTCAGGTCCATATTAATATTGTCTTACTTAAGCTGCCAAAGATTGGTATTTTGTGATTGTATTTTCATAGTTGAAAATAACAAGGATGGATTGTTTTTTATCATGGTGTAAAAAGAAATGTAACCATGATTCACTCAGACGGCACGGATCTTTCTCTTAAGCTCACACTGATTAAAATTTTTTTTTAACCATTTCTGACTGTGATGCACCACCAATGGTGGTATCAAAGTAGACACAAGTGGATAATAATGCATGACATCACTTCACCAACCTATCCAGCCTGAGTCCAGCTCAGAAACCACCCCTGTTTTCACAACAAATGTTGATATTTTTGCCAACCAACTTTTGGGTTATTTTGTGTTTTCCATGATTACTTGTGTTGCATCCTGGGCCATACACCTGCAAGTAGTAAACTGACTGATATCATAAGCAGCATTTATAAAAACACACAAAAGCTTTGCAAATTTGACCATGTATACATGTATGGCGTAAAGAAATGTATTTCAAACAGACAGAACACAAATAGGAATGAAAAACAGGCAGAGTTTTGGAGGTAAAATTCATAAACGTGCTGCTGATCACTGGATAGAGGTGTATGCTAGCCAGAATCTCAAACAATATTAGTCTTTTTCTAAATGTCATGTTCTGAAAATGTTTGTTTTGTTTTCTTGAGTTGTTTTCCTTTATAGATCTACCCAAAAATACACGTTATCTGTTGGTGTCCTCTAAACCCTCTGCTTGACTTAAAAATAGACCCAAGCATTAAATGTGTGTGGAGCCATGAGGAAACTTTGACCGTCCTCTCATTATTTGAATATTGAAACTAACAGAAGGGCCATAGTTTTGGTACGGTTTTTGGTACATTTAATATGATTTATTCAAGAGATTGTTCAAATGTCAAACTTGTGGAGTTAATTTTCTATTGATGCAGTAATCCTTTAGTCAACTTAGTGCCAGTCCTTAGAGCACCAGACTCACTAGAATCATCTGAGATTAAGGTCAGATATACGTGTTGTACTGTTTTGGTGACTGAATACATGTAACACTGGCTGAAAAGCTCAACATGGGCTTCATATTTCAGTGTATCAGTCGAACCCCACTGCACCATCCTTTTAGTGAATTTTGCTAAAGCTGGATCAGGGACGTCAGACCTGTGTATCATGAGCCAATGTAAGGGTTAATGCTGTCTGAAAGACATGGACTGAACACTTGCTGAGGACAGTGTTGGAGCCGATGAAGAGCATTCATCGTGTATGTGTAAAAAAAAAAAGTTCTGACATCTTGTATATAACTGTTTTCACGGAATAAATATTTCCTAGCTATAATTTTCGAACATTCATTTTGTTTCACTCCAAATGTGCCTGCTTTCTTTGTCTCTGACTGGGCATGTGACCCACTCTAACTTTCTAAATATTTAAAGCCTAACTCGCTCTTAGTATCTGGTTGCAGTCTGCACGGAAACAGAGGAGAGACAGCAAACAATGGCTCAACTCGTGTCTTCAATGGGGCTGTTCTGCCAAATTAATGCATTTGCATGCCTGATGCTCTGCTACCTGCTCTTTGTTCTGCTGGGAGGCCTGGTGTTCACAGCCGTGGAGAAGCCGTTGGAGGAGGAACTGAGAGCTGAGGTGGAGGAGCTGCGTCGCTTCTTCCTGCAGGAGAATCCCTGTGTTGAGGAGGGCAGGTTGGGCAAGCTGCTGGAGAAAGCTCTGTCTGTACACCACAGTGATGTAAATGTTCTGAACGCTGAGGCAGACGAGAGACGCTATGACTTCACATCATCACTCTACTTTGTCATTGCCACTTTGACCACCATGGGTAAGACTTGGTGCATAAAAGACATCATGCATGAAAGTCTATTTTTTGATCTTGAGAACAATGTGATTTGACACAAAAATATTTGAAGCTTCCCCTACTATTAATTTTTCAAGATTTTAGCCAAATCTCAAGGTTTTCCTCAACAGATCAAGTTTACTCTGTTGTCATGGATCATCATCTATTTTACATGAGAACAGAGCAAAATCCGTCTGCTGAGAAAAACCTCGAAATAAATTTGAAGGCTTAGAAAAAAACGTAATACTTAAATGTAATTTTATTATATTTTTGGGGGGTGTTTTTCTACATTTATCGAGACGATGCATTCACTGCGGTAAGCTCGGTCTTTTGTCAAGATGTTTTATGAAGGTCAAGCAAGAGTTTTTCTTAGATGCCATCCATAGTGACTGACTGTTACAACCAGCTCGTAACATTGACTTTATGTAGTTTCCTTCATACTATCTTCGCTGTAACAAACACCATTTCTTGTTGATAACCCCTGTGTCTGAAGCACTTGCCTCTGTCATCTCCCGTGGCGTCACCCCTTATTACTGTTCCGTACCTCCTGATTCCCGATGAGGACTTTTAGTTGGTCACATATCCTCTTGCACTCTGTATTGCTTCCTGTATGGCATACCTATGTCCATGCAGTTAGGTTAACTGGAAATCAGAGGTGTTCTCGATTTTGTTTCAGTGCTTTTTTAAACTTGTGTGTCGATGGTCATTTGTGTGTCCATGTTTGCTGAATTGAGTGTCTATATTGAGGCATGTATATTAAATTTTGTTTTTCTAAGGTGCTTCCTGTTGTTTGTTCCTCAGCAAAAATGCCCTATTTGTCAGCTTAGAAATAACAGTTATTTAGAAGTGATACAATTTTCAATCACTTGACATTTAGGTTATATTCCACAGTCACTTCTTTTGTGTCCTTCAGCTGATTAAATTATATTTTTATTTTACAAATATTTCACTCACACCATATAAAACCTAATACCTATCAGTATTATGTTAGTCAAATTTAAATACATGGTGAACAATTCTGAATACAAATATGTCATTACCTATCCCTTTGATTTTCTCCATATTTGGAAAACTGACTACATGTCATTGGAGCAACTAGACTTGCAGTAGTGATCATTACCAGCTGTTATATTTGTCAGATAATCAGTGGCCCTGTTTCTGGCACCAAAAATGAACTGAGGAAAAAGTGGTGACACCTTTTATTCTAACTACACAATTATATATTTATACGTTTTTAGTGTTGCCCTTGAAATAACATACATGTCCTTCCTTCACAGGTTCTGACTCTTACACCCTCAAGTCAGATGAGGCCAAGCTCTTCTGTATCTTCTATTGCACCCTAGGGATTCCCCTTACCCTGTTCCTACTCACTCTCCTTTCTAACTGTCTCCTTCTCCCTGTTGTCACTCACGCCCCTGTAAACCACCTGCACGTTTACTGGGGTTTGTCGTATAACCGAGCTGCCCTCGTCCATGCTGTCTTTCTCACAGTGCTTGTCTTCATCCTCCTTCTCCTTCTGCCCGCCTTACTGGTCTCCGCAATAGAGCCAGACTGGAGCTACTTGGACGCTCTTTTCTTCTGCTTTGTCACACTGAGCACTGTTGGTGAAGGAGAAAACCCTCTTGGGAGAAGTTGGGGGCCAGCAGCCAGGGAAACACTGGAGCTCCTCACCACATGTAAGTATCATGATGTGTATTTATGAAAACAGCATTACTACAATGTGCCAGTCAAATGTTGGAATTCGTCTCGGTTTTTCTGTATTTTTACAAGTTTCAGCAGCGCAGAACATACTGAAGTGAATCATATGTGTATTCTATGTAATACAAATGTTTATGTGGAGAGCAAAAAAAGTGTCACGTGAAGCAAAACATGTTTCATATTTTAGATTCCTCAAAGGGGGCCCTGCTCGCCTTGATGACAGCTTTGCACACTAGTGGCAAAACCCTAATTAACTTAATGGGATCAACAGCTTCAACCCTTTGGTCTGATGAATTCAAGAAATACTCGGTTCTAAATTATTTTAGATTTGGGAATTTTCCCAAACAACACAGGATGGTCCTCGACTGTCTGCCACTTCAGGACCTGGATCCTCCCTCAGACATGAACTGACATGAAAACCAAATTAATCCTAAGACTCCAACATAATGAGAAAGTCTCGCCTTCGCATCAGAAAACATGGTATCATACTAGCTAGATCCAAAGGACAGGCATGTTAGGACTGAAAATGGGTGTCTATTCCCGCAACAGTTGATAGCAAATGATTTGGAATACCTAATGACATCCTGGAAAAAATACTAGCCAGTCAGAATTTCTATATACTTCTGTGACATCAACCAATAGGAATAGAAAATAGTCAATAGTCATTTTGTCTTCCTTTCTTAAGACCTTTGTAAAGACAGTGTCCAGCATCCTCCACACCATTGTTATAGAAGTCAGTCCCTGGCATTTCCTTTTCAGATGACATCACAGTGGTTGCGAAGATGGAAAACTATGACTGGTTGTGGGCTCATACGTACAATATCACCTAACCAGTGACCATCCTATAAAGCAAACATATTGTATAGTATGAACCCAGTATCATACAGACCAATGAAGATTATTATTATTGGAGCACTAAGGTGAACACATCTTAACATCTCAACTTATTGAGTTCAATATGTACATGCTCTCAATAACCATATTTTATTGTAACAGTTGGGAAGTTTGACTTTGGCAAATAAATGAAAACTGGTGAAAACAGTGCAGGTAAATTCCATCAAATCCTGCCGGCTGCCAAGAACAAACAGTAGATATTGTATGACTCTATAGCTCCCCTTCCCAGTATTTACCCACATTTAAAACAAACATGGCCAAAATGACTAAAGGAGTCATTTACAGATGACTCGTAGTTGCAGGTGGAAGCAGGTGTAGTTTTCAGTATTGACGGTTCACTCCTTATGTATACTATACAACTGAAGGGATGTTGTGCTAGTTTAGATTTATTGAAAGATGTACATTTACAGTCCCCACAGTGAAAAGTAAATGCAACTATAGTCAGGTCATAGTTTTCACTTTTTTTTTTCATTTGAACTCTTGTGTGATTTTATTCCTTTTCTGCCAAGCTTCTGCAGACTAGGAGTCCTCCTGTCAGCTAGTATTTTGGTGTAACTACAGACAAGCACGGTGCCATTTATAAATGTCATCTCCCCAACAACTTTTGTCCTTCACATTATCTGAGCTTTCACAGAAACTCCTATTTCAATGGATAACTCCTTTACCAAGTCTGAGCTTTTCAGAGGTAGATTGTATAAGTAGTGCACTGTCTGTGGTGGTATTTTCGAGCAGCCGCTGCAGCTTTGCCACCGATCTTCCTGTATCTTTTTCCATCTTTGTGACAACTCACAATCAGATTTTTCAGTTCCTCTGGCAATTCTTTCCCATGTGTAGCCATGATGCACATGCAGATAGACGCAGGTAATAGGTCCAAAACTGAGAAGGTTTTGGTGTTTACAGTGGTGGTAGATTGTTAGACATCTTTTCTGTTGTGTGCGACATCAGTCTGCCACCACAGTACTGGAGGTTGTGAACACTTGTGAGCAGAAAACATAAATCAACCGCCATATTCATCTATATTTGGAAAATTAGACTTACATCATGTGGACACAAACATGGTACCATGGTATCCCAGACCTGGGAAATTATTGTAAACAGCAGCATCTAAAA